TCTACGACGTAGCGTACGATTTTTGAAAAATTGTAATTATTATAGAAATGGTGGTAGTTCGACGATGAAAAGCCACTTTTTGTCAAGAAAATTAAATTTAAACGTTTCTAAAAAATTAAATAAATGAGATATCGAAAAAATCGTACGCTACATTGTAAGTACCTAATACATTTTTATTTGTAAATCCAGAAGAATTTTTTATTTCAGACGTTTCAATTCTTGCTGACGATGGCAGTCAGCAGTTGATGCTCTAGCAGAACAAGTTTCGCAAAAGCTCCTCCATTTTGCAACATTTTTACTTTTTAAAAATTGGAGAAAAGAAGACGAAAGTTACACTTGTATCCTCTGAAAATATTGAAGTTCTTCATTTAGTAGTTACCTACGAAAAAAATTCCCGAACTTTTCCTTCTTTTTAGACGCATCAGTATATGGTGTACCCTTTAATAAATATTTCAGTATTCCGTGATTTATGAATGAAAATCTACTCTTCCAACGGCGTAACTTTGGATATTTCTTACTTTAACACTGTGCACTCGTAAAATTGCAGAAATCGAAATCGAAGAAAGCCGAGGACATGACGGAGGGCGTGAAACGCGTGGACAGTCCGGGTGAGTCCGTGTACTCGTCAGCGAAGGAATACGATGACGACTGTGACATGAACTTTTATTCGCCTGTCAGCTGGTCGAGTGGTTCCCCGGAACAATCACTATGGATGGAACCAATCGTTCCGGTGAACCACTCGTCCAGTCGATGAGGTAGAATTTTAAATCTAACAATTGACTCTGTGAAACTGATTAGAATAAAGAAGATTTTGGATACAAAACGACGAAATCGTGAATGTTTGCCTTGTCGCAAGAATACTCGTATAACGCGGAAGATTGAAAATATATGTTTATAGTTGAAAAGTGATGGAAAAGAAGGACGAGGGTCCAGTTTTTGTCTATTGGGATATTTGATTGTACTTTTTATTGCAAAATTCAGTTTTGCATTTAGAAGTGAGATTTATTGCCATTTAAACAATAACAGCAGATGGGAAAAATGGTGGGGATATCGGTGTTTATATGGTAAAAGGATAAGAGTGTGCTTTGTACAGTGTGTTCATCCTACGTTAATGCATTTTTTAAGCGCGACTGTAAAGTAAGTGTTAATTAATTCAATAATGTCTGGAGAATCAGTATAGGTCTTCAATGTTTGAAATTCGTTTTACTCAAAATACACATTAACAGGACACTCATTTTTTTTCTCCTGTCCTCTTCAGTTGTACGAACGCGTACTGGGTGATCCGATCGTACGACAACGAGATATAGTTGCTCTGCAATTTTTTAATGTTAAACGAGCAACAAATGCGTTGCAAGGACTTTTCTCTTTCAATTTAAAGTGTGGAATACGAGCACATTGTTTTGTTCATTTGTTTGAGGCTACTTTAATTTTTGGAAATTTTTTGACGAATGAAATAGAGTTGATTTTTTTAAATAAGCAAAAGTTTGTAGTTTTAGGAACTTCCTGTTGATAAGTAAAAACGACGAAATTGTCAATGTTTGGCTATTTCTCGACAGCGTGACACATTGGAAATATATGTTTTATAGTTGTATAAATTCAGGAGTGTAATTTCCCCTAAACGTTTTTACTCTGTCTTCGTTTTTAAAAGAAGAAACGTAGCTCGTGACAATTCCAAGAAAATTCGTTTCGACAAGTTAAGTGCCAATTTGTGTTCTGTCGCTTTCAGTTCGGCTCGAGGGATTAGGACACAGTAACAGGTCGAAAAACAATTTTCTTTTTGCTTAAATACGTCTGAAAAAGATACCCGTGAAGTTGTAAACTGAAATTCGAAGTATTCATAAGGTTACGGTAGATTTTATAGTTACGCGTCACGCGTACACCAGTTACCTCGGTTCGCTACGACTTTCAAGTGTGAAAAGTGAGTAGTCACTCGGTTTCGGAATATAAAAAGAAAAACTTGGAGGGAATGGTAAGTTAACATATGTCCTTATAAAAAACTGACAAATTATTACGACTTAGCAATAAGGAGAAATGTTAACTCCGCCGATGAAATGGCGTAATTAAAATTCAATTTTGGACAGTAATAGAAATTTTTCACCGACACTTACATCGCGGAAAGGCAGGAACACCGCAGCTTAAATAGAACTAAGCAGGCTCAGACAACAACAATTTGAACAAGAAAAATTTTTCGAGGAAGTAGGAAATTTGCGGAATATGTCTGGAATAGTAGACTAGCAAAACACAGCTGTGAGTTTCTAAAAATTCTTACTTTTCAGTACTTAAAATTTTAAACTCGTTTTTCTCAGAACCGCGTTTTTCAAAATGGTGTACAAGATATCTGGAGTTCTATCTTACGAATCGCATTGAAATTTTGCAGTTCGTCTTCGTTGTGATATTTGTTAGGCATTGACGTTCGAAAATATAAGTAAAAAATTATAAAATTTTGAGTTGAAATTCAATCGCTAAATTTCAAGTGTCTGCCATTTTGTTGATTTTCAAGAAAATTGAAATATGACATTCAAATTCAGTTTATGACATTTGCGAGATTTTTGCTATAGTTAATCTGATTTGTCAGAATCCTGCACACCAGTTGGCCATCGGGAAGAAAAGATATTCCAAGCGAAGACGGCTACGGGCATAAAAAGGAATTATTTTCTAAATATTACAAGCATTTTTTATAGTTCAGATTATAGTAAAATAAAATACAAAACCTTATATTAATCGATTGTTTACTTTTTTTTGAACTGTTGTTTCAAAATCGTATACTTTATCGACCTGTTACTGTGTCCTGACCCCTTAAGTATGACAGCATATTTTTAATCGACCAGCAATGTCAATTTCTTTATTAAATTAAAGGTGAAATGATCGAATTTCTGTTCTTTTTAGAGACCGAAGTTCAAGAGGAGTTTCGCCAAACAAGTGACTTTATCAATGGAGAAATAAATTCCACAGTGGAATCACCGGCAAGAGGTACTACAATTAACAATTATTCTTCAAACAATTCGATGTAAGAAAGCATATATCTTGAATGTCGTGCACTTTTTTGCATTTGGAAAGAGGAATTGCGCATTTTTTATTTTAACCAAGTTCCATATTTCTTTTTCTAGATATAAATTGTCAAATTTTTATGCCAATTCTCAAAAGATTTAATATAAATTAGAACCCTGATTTTTTGAATGTTTAAAAAATGTTTTGAAAATCTTTACTCTGTGTTCAGCCCTTTCCGGTCCAAATTGTAGGGCATTTTTTTCAAACAATTTTTTCCATTAGGTCGGTTATGAATTTCATTGAATACGAAATGAACACTGTACGAACTTACGGACCAACCTACTATATTACCGAATGAACTGTTGAACGTAACGTTCTTGTTGACGCATACAAATCCTTGCTCCACGAATCAGAGGGAGTCGTGGACTGGTGCCACGATGTTTTAAAGCTTGTACAATTCTTCCTTCGAACTGGGCGAATTACCGCTATTTATCAACATAAAAGTGTGAGAAAATGCAACAGTTTGTAGGGAACCTTTAAATTCAATTTTCTCGAAAACTAAATTTCTCACGAACAAATCTTATTCTTTATTTTCAGTTCATTTTCACTTGTAGAATCACTCATTGCTCACACGTCCCGCTTCACCTTGTATATTATTAAAAAAAAATACGAAACACTTGTAATGGGTTCGTTCGAACCTACAGAGCTGGAAAGGGTTAAAAATTTACAGAAAAGGATTGGTGTAATATTCAATCAAAAAGTAAAGTGTATTCTTACGTTAATAATACCAGATAAAATTGAAACGACAGTTCTTCCAGAAGCAAACCCAACACCGGAAGTCGCCAACGGAGTGGCCAGCGAGGAGCAAACCTCAAAGACTCCGCCCTCCATCACTTCTCAACAAGCTTCTACACAACCACAAGCTCGCAGTTCCATTTCGAAAGAGAACTTAGTTGAGTGTGCTGCGGAAGAAAGGCAAGAAGAAGAAGAAAATGGGACGCAAAGACGCAAAATATCGTAAATCGAAAGACCAGCGTAGATGAAGGCCCTGTTCCTTCTCCTAAAGCAGGTTCAAAGTTCCTGTATACAGGAACTGTAAGAAGAAAAGGAGAAAAAGAATCATCGTGGCTGAATTTCTTTTACGAAAACTGATTCCTTTCGTTTTTATCTTTCTATGTATTCCTTTCTTTTTTTTTTTTTTTAATGCTTACTACACGTAACGATTAACCCTTGAGCTCCTGAGCCTCACGCGGAATACTGGGGGGAGGTCCTTGTACCCATACTTCTTCTTATACATTTATTCTGAAAAATAAATGTATTTCTGTATGCGTATTTGTAAAATAAAAATAGTATTGTATAACAGTGTGCTGTCATGAAACTAGTCTGAATGTGATTCTTCTGATGTGAAACACGAGTTCGTTTTGTTACAGTTTCTTATTCTTTGGAGATAAAAAGAACGTAGTAGTTCGTTTTTCACATGTAGCAACGGTTCCTTCCGAATATTAAACTTAAATATGTATGCGACATTAAATAATTTTTTAAGAATTTTTTATGTAAAGGAAACGATTGTAATTAAAAATTTTTCGATTTGTGGGTTCGAGGAATCTCCCCTTAGAAGTTCTAGGATTAAGCGATCTAATTTTTGGTGAAATAACGATTTTTGCATCTTTTATCGATCGCGATTTTAGGTGAAACCTCGCAGAGATTTAAAGTTAAAAGAAGAACATTTCTCCTCGTCGCGGTGGTAAACAGTTTGGTGAAACGACAACGAGGTGGTTAATTCTCTTCTTTTGCTACGATTTGAAATCCTCGTGACACGAGAGTGAAGAATGTACGGTATGAAAGTATGGAAGATATTAGTGTGGCCGTTCGTGATTTTAAATTCGAATTATTCTCCTTGTAATACTACAGACTTAATGAAAACTTCAATGCAGTGTTTCGAGCTTGTTTGCTGTTATGTTTGGATACGTGAAAGTGTGTATGCGCGTGTTTGGAAGTTGCTACATAATATGCTTCCTTTTCGCGAAGGAGGGATGGTTATTTATTTAGCTTCTTTCACTACGGTGATCGATGATGATTGTTTGTTAAAGAAGTATACCGGTACTCCATCGACAACTTCTGTCCTTCCGTTCTCTTCTTCTATCGAGAAAATAAATCATGAGACTTTTCAACGAGAGAATTTGATGTGTCAGGTGGAAGGTAAACGTGTAGGAAGTTGTACCTACTGTTCAAAATAATTAGAAAATCAAGCAAATCACCAGTATAAAATTGTAAATAAAGTAGTGTATTTTTGTTGAGAGAATTTTGAATAAAAATACTTTCCAAAGAAAAATTACAGAAGAAACGAAATTGTCTTGAAATTATTTTCGATAATCTTCTAACTATTTTGAGCACCTCGTGTATATCGAACTTGAATTTAATTTTATGTTTAAGATTTTCAGAAGAAAAGAATTCTTTAAAAATATAAAGATACTCTGTTTACCTTCGCAAAACCATTTTCAGCCGGTAATTTCTTGTCCAATGATTTTGAAATACGTCTGAGAAGTGAAATTTTGGGAAAGAATCGTTTAATCGACGTGGAAGTCGCCTTCGGGACGCCATAGTGTCGCTAACCCGGCCAACGATAAAAAATGGCAGATAATGGTAGATAATGGGCGATTCATGGGACAGACGGAATTCTAGGCGGTTGTGCAACGTTGGACAAAAAGTGTGATCTATTGAGAATGGTGTAAACTTCCACGGCGTTTTTTGTCCTGCTCACTGTACAAAACAGGACTCGTTATCGTGTTCAGTTTCTTCCACGAAGATAATTCATGCGGTTATTGTATTATCGTTCTTGCAATTTTTCACATGTCACTTGTTAGAAAGATTATGTCAAAATGCAGCTATATTTAAAGGAAAAAAGATACACAGTGATTAATAGAATATTCGGAAGTGAAATTGATTTTGCACTTGTCTGAGAATGAATTTAAAGGAACACTTGTAGCATCGTTTAATCGTGCCATCGAAAGAAGAGTGAATGTTGATACACGAATAATGAAATTTCGTGCTTCTTTGAAGTTTTCGTTGCGCGAAATGTGTGAATGATAAGAAGAGAAAATGAGTATTTAGGTGTTAAAGGATGTTTTAGATTGTATTTAAGGGTTAGGTTAAATTTATGAAAAACAGAGTAAGTTCTGTATATTATATTCGAAAATGTGTATACATACGTGAAATGATTGGTGAAATTTTGATCTTGTATTTATGGAAGAAGACTCAGCTTCATTTAATAAACGAACACAGATATTCGAGACGTTCCATTACTCCATCACGTGGCGTCATATGATATTCGTTAATCAGCTCGCTGTAATATTCTGTGCAAGAAAAATTATGAATCACACTTGGATGTGTGACGTGTTTGCGATATCTGCGCCAATATTTTTCCCCCTTCGATCGCGAAACTTCTCGCGATACGTAATGTATATAAATATAATAATTGCTGAAACAGCAACCGCGTTAACGACACACCAAATGTTTCGTCGAAAAGTGGAATTTTTCGTCAATTAAACATTATTTTTTGGCTCACCTTACTTTCATTTTCTTTCTTACACCGTCTACACGAAACATTGCTTTAAAAAATAAATAAAATATTTTATTTTAATTTAATATTAAAAATATTACTTTCCAGCTAAGTAGAAAATTTATTTATTTATTTACGGGTATAAACTTATAATAGTACATGATATACCGGGTGAGTCACCTAAGACTGGAAGCTGAAATATTTTCAAAATTGTTAATTATATCGAAAAAGGCTTCAGACAAAAGTTGATTGGTAACTAGCATTTTTATAAGCGAACTCATAGACGACATATGAAGATCAAACTTGTATTTTTTAAATAGAATCATATATTTTTTAATACATCAATCGATTCAGCTCATCATTCTCTATAAAAAAGTGTTAAGCTATTTATACCGAGAAACTACTACTTTAGGAGATATTTTAGTTAAAATATTTCGGAATAGTAGGTACCTACTTACCTACCCTTACAACCAGAGATCTTAAGTCGTGTGCAATATTCTTTAAGGATTAGATTGCGAAAATTTTCAGATGCCAACAGTTATCATTTTGAACACATTTTGTAATAGGTAGTATGTACTAATGTAATGAATATTTATTTAAATCTTAAATTAATTAAATTTAAAAAAATTTATTTAAATTTTAATTAAAATATCTCCTAAAGTAATGGTTCCTCGACATAAATAGCTTCACACTTTTTTGTAGAGAATTATGATCTGAATGAATTGATGTATTAAAAAAATACATGATTCTATTTAAAACAAACAAATTTGACTAAAATGCTAGTTATATCAAACGTTTGAAGACTTTTTCGATATAATTAACAGTTTTAAAAATATTTCAGCTTCCACTCTTAGCCTATGCCCTGACTTCATAGATGTCGTATAGCGACAATATCATTTCCGCTTTATCGACCGACCAACACAAGGAAGAAGCAAATCACATTCCATGGTTGCGTCTAAATTATTATAACTACAGGTGCGATGCGATAACCACGATTTTGTCGATCGCATTGTTTGAATTTCAAACGAATTTTGTTTTTTGTCACATCACACGCACGAAGTCTTGCGACAACAGGCTAATCGGGATTAGGATTCGACTTTATGACACGGACGCCCATCTCTGCTATTTTTGAGGACTTTTATTTTTTGAAACTTTTCTTAAATTAACTCTCTTTGCAGTATACTGATAAAGTAAATTGTCATTTTCTCGCAGCTGGCAGTTAAGGTGTGAAATTCGCCGAATTTTATCCTGTCTACTGTATGACGTTCCCTCTCCCGTATATTTTCATTAAGGAAAAGCAACGCCAACATTGACAAAGATATCTTGAATACTGACCTGGTTGCAATTGTAGTATTCGACAATCAGCCGTATATGAACACTGTCGCATTGTCATCCGACCGACTGACCAACGATTTTGACGCTATACGACATCTATTTAGTCGGGACACAGGCTTAGGTAACTCACTCGATATATTATAAATCGAAGAGAGACAAATTATAATATTACAATATAAATATATCATTATATTTCTTATATAGGTATATCATTCTCACCATACTGTTTTATCATATATATTATTAGATTGGTGCAAGTGAAATGTCATTTTCTCATATGCTCAAATTAGTGGATTATTAATACAATTGTTTGAAAATGATTTTTATAAAGGAATTATGAAACTATACTCTGTCCAATTTAAGAATAACCTCGCTCTCGGACCGATTTTCGTCCGTTCTGCGCAGTTCCCGGAGTTAGACAGAGAGCGCAGCAGAGGGTAAGACGGCGAAAGACGTAGGCGGTTAAGTGGGGGTTTGGACGTTCTAGACCTTCCTTAGGCACGTCCCATGCGCGAAGCGAGGTTATTCTTAAATTGGACAGAGTGTAGTTAATCGTTGGGAAAAGTGTATACATAGAATCGTATTTTTTGAAAAAGCACAACAGTGCCTGAAGTTTCATTTAAGAAAACGACGTTTCATATGCATCAACCTA